AGTTTTTTTTTATAAAAAAAAGTTATTAATTTTTATGTTTACAGTATTTAATAATAACTGTAAATTCAATAAACTATTTATATGTTTCAGATTATTATTTATTTAAATACTAATATTACTTATTAATAAAATAATAATAAATTTATTTAATAAATAATTTTTCAGATACAATAAAATGTTTTTTATCCTCTAAATTAATACAGACTTTAATTATAAAAAGATGAAAATGCTATAAAGCATTAGACAGAAACAAACTTTTATGGCATAAAATTAAATGGTCTCTTATTAATATAAATTTTCTTTTATAAATTGCGCCATAAAGTGAATGAATATTATAATATAAATTCAACTATAGTCATATGGGGTATCAAAGTAAAATCAACAATAGTCATGTGGGGTGTTAAATGACTCAGTATGAGTAAAATAAACTCAAATTTAGCCATATAGGGTATATTTATAAAATAAATTACCATAAAATACGAAGAAATAAAATAATGTTACTAATCTATTAAATCTGATTTTTTTATGCTCTATACCAGTGATCAAAATTAAGTGTTATCATAATAACTTTTTGATACTTAAATAACATAACTAATTTAACAAATATTTAATAGTAATTTTCATAATTTATAACAAACAATGAGTAAGTTAAACAAACACTTTCTCATTTAATATGTACTAGGTTATTTGTACAATTTTGTTTTATAAAGTTTAATTTTGATCACTGCTCTATACAATACTAAACGTTAAAATTTTTATCTAAATTTTTTTTTTACTTTGGCCGCCATTTTCTCTATGTTCCCGAAGAGATATAAAAAATTTTAATGTTGATATTTAATGATATAACCGAATCTGAAATCAGATTTTTGAAATTTTCAACAAAAAAAAATGCTACAGACACAGACAAATTGATCGTATAGTTTTCAGTAAACTAAACTTTTTAAAAGTTTGTTTGAAAATATATTTAATAAGCTATAAATTTAATATAATTTTGTCTAATAATAATAATAATAATAATAATAATAAGCATTACAAAGCAATTATTGTATTTCACATATAACTTATACGGTATATATATTTTTAGTGAATAAAGATTTTTAATAAAATAAATTAAATTTATAAAAACATTTCATTGAAAACTGATATAATTATGGCAAAAGTTTTTATTCACACTAACAGATTTAAAAAAAAAATTAGTCACATATTATCAAATATATGTATATATATTTTGTTATAACTATAATTTAATGTAAAATAATGATTAAATTATTAAATTTTTTATAATGTTTTACTTATGTATGTATTATTATGTTTAAATTTTTTATATATATATATTAATAATACCCAAGGCCCAATACCCCCCCCTAGGATCGAGATTTTGGGATTTTACCCCCCCCCCCAGACTTTTTGACCAAATGGGAAAAATTGTCGCTTAAAAACGAGGAGAAATGATAATTGAACCCCCCCTAAAATCCAAAACCTTTCTTAACCCTGATATATATATATATATATATAGTTAAATAGCTAACTAATTAAATATAATTTTATACACAAACAGTAATGTACTTTTAATTAAATTAAATTATTTTAATTATGATAATAAATATGTATTAAACAATAAATTTAAAAATATAAATATTTTTATATAAAGTATATACAGTATTATAAATTTTATAAACATGCTAAACAATTTTTTTTTTTGTTTAAATTAAACTAAAATTAACTAAAAAATAAATAAATATGATATTAATAAACAATTATTTACTTTTTTGAATGAGTACTGAAGTGTTTCATCATATTTGCTATTTTCGGTAAACCGTTTCCGACATCCCGGTTGCAGACAATCAAACGGTTTTACCTGTCTATGAATCAATCATAACATGTTTTTTTCAAATTAATGTTAGTCCGAAATACCCGTTCACACAATTCACATTAAATAATTTAGTTTAAATTATTCAACTTATTATTATTATTATTAAAAAATTAAACAAGATTTATTTAATGTTATACAATAATTATTATGTACTATAATTTTTTTTACAATACAACTAAATTGCAACCAATTTATTAATATATGGATAATTGTAAATAAATTTTGTTTAATTATTGAAATTTTGTTATTTATAAAAAAAAAAATTAATTAGTATTTAGCTTAATTTTAAGATTGGCAAATTTATATTGGTAATATTGATCTTTATATATATTAGTATTTATTATTATTATGGTCTTAAGTGATTTTAAGCTAGATAATTTATTGATAGACAACTTAATAAAAAAAATAAAATTAAAATAGAAATTATTTCTTTTTATGTAAAACAATTTAAACAATTACAAAAATTATCAATTTAATTTACGTTTTTTAACAATGTAAGTTTTGTAAAAGAAATTCAAAAATAATACTAAATTTAATGTATAGATAAATAGCGATACCAAAACACGTTGAATACTACAATCGCATTTTGATTGGTTTAGTTTGAGCCATAATACGTGCAAATTTATTAAAAGACCCAGTATCATTTGTATAATTTGCATTATGGTAATTAGCATGCTCAATTGTCTAGGTATATGAAATTTCATAATCATCAATGCATAATAGGTATACATAACTGAGTGGATGATTACATTTAAGCCAAATGACCATTGGGCAGTACCCGGTATATCAATAAATAAATAGTAAGCGTATATTAAGGTTAGTGAATGATGTATCCAGTGAAGTTTAATTAGTTTGCTCTGACGCAATATAATAAACACTGTATCCAATAGCTCCGGGATCTTTGACAAACAAAACAAACTGTACCAAAGGACTAGACGGTAGTCCAGATAGTAGTCTGATTGACAGTAAGTGGCGACCAGTCCTTTATGTTTGTATTGATTGACAAAATTGGGAAATATTCTGATTGTGGCAATCATTGAAAAAATTGCATTCAATATATTCCATAGGATTAACAATGATCTGAATTTGTATGACTTTCCAGAGTAAGACATCCAATAGTTTAACAGTAAAATTGTTAAGAGATAGCCGATTGAAATGTAGACAGTGATGAAAAAATTTTGGTTCAACCATTTTAGTATGACTGGCGCCGGTAGTACATCAAACAAGTAGTTTTCCAATTCAGTGATTACAGGTATGTACGATAAACCGGGTAATTGATCCCAATTGGAGGACCAATGATGTATTGAATCCATTGAATCGATATTATAGTAATTGTAGCGATAATCTGAACCCATTGTCTAACACTTGACTTTGTTATTAAAAAAAAATTAATTAATTAATTAATATTATATCAATCAATCAATCAATAGGTTTTTTTTGAGTAAAATAGTAATTAATTTCTATGTTTACAGTATTCAATAATAGCTGTAAATTCAATACAGTATTTACTGTATATGTTTCAGAATAATAATTATTTAAATACTAATATTATTTATAAATTAAATAATAATAATTGTATTTAATAAATGAATTTTCAGATACAACAAAATGTTTGCAGACTTTAGTTTAAATAATTATTGTAATACATGTAAAATATATATTTAATAAGCAATAAATGTAATATAATTTTGTCTAATAATTATACTAATAATAGACATTATAAAGCAATTACAGTATTTAACATATAAATTAGATTTTTAGTTAAATAATTGTTTTAATAGTATTATAGTATAGTACAGTGTATAATAAGTATTAAGAAATATGAAATAATATTTTATCATTAATTGTAGCACAAAATTATTAATTATTAGTTAAATATAATGACATATTTTTAAAAACTTATTTTAAAAGGAAAAATATAATAACATATTTGAAAAATACTATATATATCTTAAGAAAAACATTTCATTCAATAAAACCCTAATTTTAGTCACATATATATATCTAAAGTTACTAATAATCACTAACTTAAGTGATTTTAAAATATTAAAATATCATATTATTATAATACAATTTACATTAAAAATCAGTTTTTTTAAAACAAATAAATTTTTTAAAAAATAATATTTTCGGCAAACGGATAGTTTTGCAAATGTTTGCCCGAAGTTTGGCCCGAAGTTTACGGTCCAATACGTCCAACTCTTTCCAATGTCTTCAGCAGTCAGTTTGAAGTCAAAGTGAAGTCCGGATTAACACTTTTTTTAGGCACAACTATTACCCCCACATTATGTCCCTATTATTACGGTAATAGTCATTAGCATTACGGGTCAGTTAGATATTATTTAGGTTTAAAAAAAACCTGATACTTAATAACAACTATCTTTTAACGGCATTTTTATTATATACTTTTTTTGGCTTTTATTTTAAAACAACTGGATCTCTAAGCAATTGGATTTGTTTGGCCTCCGACCTCATTTGATCCGGGATTGCCTAACAGTGAATATTTAGTTTCACAGTCAGTTTAATACAGTTATCTATGAATACATTTGGTTAGTCTAACTGATTAATGACGGGAATTGTTTTGACGGCTAGTCGGGAATAGTCGGTCCACTTATGCGGACGTAAAGTATGAGATACTAATACTAACAAGTCCAGCTGTTCAGACAATCTTCGCCGAGTCCCTGACTGGACCCTCAATATAGTCAACATTACCGCCCAATATCTTGCCGTCCGGTCCTTTTTTTTTTGGAAACAGTGTGTCGTCTACCTGTGCAGCAAAACACAGCGGCCAATGAATGAGTACTAAATCCACGGTACGGTGTCTTAAATTTGTCCAAAATTTTGCCAGTTGTTAAAAAAAACTCAATAAATTTATTATATATAAAAAAACAATTGAAATAAATAAATAAAATATATATTTATGTTTTTTTACACAAAAGGTAATATTATTTTTTTTTATTAAATTAAATTATTTCAATTATGACAATAAATATGTATTAAATGTAAAAATATATATATAAAAAGTATATACAGTATCATAAATTTTATAAACATGTAAAACAATTTTTTTTTGTTTAAATTAAACTAAAATTAACTAAAAAAAAATAAATATGATATTAATAAACAATTATTTCCTTATTGAATGAGTACTGAAGTGTTTCATCATATTTGCCTTTTCGGTAAACCGTTTACCACATCCCGGTTGCAGACATTCAAACGGTTTTACCTGTCTGTGAATCATAACATGTTTTTTCAAATTAAAGTTTGTCCGAAATACCCGTTCACATTGTGGCCAATCGCACCGAAATTCGGGTGCATCGTTTGCGTCGTGTGTCCACAAATGCTTTTTGAGCGAACAATTTCTGCTGAACGATCGGTCACAGCCGGGCCACGAACACTGGTAAACAATCGGTTTTGAACCGGTAATACTTGAATAGTCATGTATTTTCTGATGTTTGACCAGCGAATGCCGGTTCTTGAGTACAGACTCACAACCAGGCCATTCACAGCGCAATTGTTGACTCGGCTGATGTACCGATTCATGTCCGCGCAGATCGTCTTTTGTCTTGAATTTGCCATCGCATCGGTGACAGTGAAATGGCCGGTCAGTCGAATGTCTTCGTTGATTATGTACAGCGATCTGTCTCTTGTAAATGGTCTTGAATTGGCAGCCGTCGTACGGACAGTCGTAATAGACAACAATCGGATTGTTGCCGCCGCCGCCGCCAGACGACAACCCGTAGTGATTCAGGTCATTCATGTGCTTAAATAATGTTGTTTTACGTTGAAATTTCTGACCACAATCGTGACACTGATTTTGTGGTTGTTTGGCTTTACGTTTGACTGATATCCCTGTTGTTGTCATCCTATTATCACTTTGTTGTCGTTGTTTAGCAGTCTTCAGACGGCCGGGTTGTTTGACTTTATTATTATTATTACCACAGATATCGGTTGTCTTGTTGTTGTAGTCTTCATCTTCATCATCGTCGTCGTCATCGTCAGCATCTAAGCCATCATTAATAGTATAATCTTCATCATCAGTATCTTCTGGTTGTTCAACAACATCGATGTCTTTGTGTTTATGATTGTTTCGGTTGTCAACCAATTGATTGGTCTCGAAATGGCAGTCATTGTCTTCATTGTCGTCGTCGTCATCGCTATTAAAAACTAGTGGATCAATGTGTTCATCAAATATATGCCATTTGCAGTCCGATTTGCGCCGAAATCGTTGGCCACAATGTGGACACTCGTGACGGTAATTGTCGGTCATTTGTGTTTGTTTTGTTTGTCCCGCGCGCCGGTCATCGGCGGTGCGGTTTAATTGGCTGCTGGCCGGCCGCGGCCGATCATTTTTTTTTTTGGTCAATCAAATGGTTAAATATAATTATTAGTTAATTATTTTCTTGTTGTTGTTGTTGTTGTTGTTGTTGGGATCAAATTAAGTGATAATCATTGACAACAATAACAACAATACTGTAATAACACAAACATAAAGTTTATTATTATTATTATGTAATAAATAGTTTACAGTATTTTATATTTATTTTTATTATTACTTTATTTTTGTGTGACATTAATAACGTTAATATTTTATCTAACTTTTAGAAAAAGGATTTTAAGTTTTATTATTATTAGTTTAAATAATTTTAGTTAATATTATTAGTTTAAATAATTTTAGTTAATATTATTAGTTTAAATTATTTTAGTTATTATTATTAGTTTAAATTATTTTAGTTATTATTATTAGTTTAAATAATTTTAGTTATTATTATTAGTTTTTTTGTAACAAATTATATATTTTGTCAAATGTTTGTTATATTATATATATATATATATAGAAAATTTGTCAATAATTATAAATTAATTGATTTGTTTAATTAAATTTGATATTTGTTTGTTTATTAATAAATTCAAAATTTTTATTATTATTAAAAAAAACAAATTATTTTATTAATTAAAAAACAAATATGATATATATTGTAAAACAAATTATAGTTAAGAAAAAATCATTTTTAAAAAAAACAGTTAAAATAATAAACTATTGATAAAATATATAATAATATAAATATACAAAGTGGCCCTGAGACAATAGTAGCTCTAGTAGATGATGGTGTGATGACTGGTAAAAGTAGACTGACCATCCATACAGGTGCCGCCTGTATTATACAGGAATGTATTGTACAGGTGACAGGAAAGGGACTAATCTGTATATATGTAATATACAATATAAAAAAATATATTGAAACTAATTGAATTAAAAATTTAAAAATTTAAAAATTTAAAAATTTAAAAATTTAAAAATTTAAAAATTTAAAAATTTAAAAATTTAAAAATTTAAAAATTTAAAAATTTAAAAATTTAAAAATTTAAAAATTTAAAAATTTAAAAATTTAAAAATTTAAAAATTTAAAAATTTAAAAATTTAAAAATTTAAAAATTTAAAAATTTAAAAATTTAAAAATTTAAAAATTTAAAAATTTAAAAATTTAAAAATTTAAAAATTTAAAAATTTAAAAATTTAAAAATTTAAAAATTTAAAAATTTAAAAATTTAAAAATTTAAAAATTTAAAAATTTAAAAATATATATATATATAAATAACTATGAATTAAATTATTGTTAGGGAAACTAAATGTATAATTGTATCTGTAAGACAACCATTTCAAAAGGGGGTAGTAGTAGTAGTAGTAGTAGTAGTAGTAGTAGTAGTAGTAGTAGTAGTAGTAGTAGTGTCAACATAGATCAACCCACACATACACACACACAAAATATGACAATCAATCAGTTTAAAGATATATTAAACAAAAACAAAAAAAAACTTTTTAAAAGTATATTTATATCTTATTGTATTCAATAGTAAATTGATTTTTTATCAGAAACTAGATTTTTGTTTTTTTATTAATATTAAATTATTGTTTATTATTATAATAAATTAATATTAATAATTAATAGTTTAATCAGTATCATATCAATATACATATATTTTATAAATTTATAAATACATTTTATTTACAATACTGTATATCTAATTAAAATTAATTTTTTTTTTTGTTTAAAATTATTATTATTAATTTTTATATAGTCAAATCAACAATTAAAATTTGAAAAATTAAAAATTTCAAACAAAAACTAAAATAAAATATATTATTTTATAAGATACAAAAAAAAACAACATCAAAGACAACTAACACCACTTCTTCTTCTTGAGTTGAGTTGAGATAACACACACACACAGACACAGACATTGAGATTGAAGTACAAAGAGTTAGAGACTATATCTGTTTCCCAGTAATTAATAGAAAAGTCGACAGATATGACGGATACAAATATTGATGACATACCAGCCAGAGATCTAATAGATTATGTCAAACGTAATAAACCACGGGTGAAGAAAGCATTGGAACAAAGATTGGTGACACCGATAGACAATACCATCCATTTGGTAGCTCATCCGTACTTCAATCTGATCGGACCAAAGAAACAGAGTCTACAGATTGGCAAAGATTTATATGAGATAAGTCTGAAAAGAAGCTGTAAATCAGAGGATGGCATCAATTTAGGAAACAATTGGATAATTCACGGCCAGCACATCAAATATAACGCCCGGGGAATGGAATTTAAGCGACAAATGGCTTTTACCACATTTGAGGGTACTGTCCATTCGGGAGAATACAGTGCTATGTTCTCGCAGTTGGACACCACCGATAAGGGTAGGATGCAGTGCGGACCTCAGGCACAACTGCTCCAACATGAACAGCAAAACAGGATGTATATCATCGACGTCCAAACGGCTGGAGCATTGCGCTTTCAATGCATCAATTGGTCTGTTCATCGGTCGCTAACCTATAGGCTGGTTAGGGCAGCCGAAAAAGTGCTAACAATAGCCGTTATATTGATTAGATGTTACGATATAATCAATCGGATCAGTCCGGAAGACATGGAACATATGAGAAACTATGTCTACGGTTACGGGACAGCCGTTTCCAAACGATTACGTGATGCCAGACGTTCCGAAGAGATCTACAAAGCAGCCATTGTTCGTCAAGAGAATATGACTGATATTCGACCACTTAGTGAACCAGAAGCCGAACCAATAGAGGTACCGATTCCCAATTATCGACAGGTGCCCCAATTCAATGTCAATATGGATATCGAAACAGCCGTTAGACCATGGCGAATACTTTACTATAGTATAAATCAAAACCGGTTATTTCAGAAATCATGGGATAAGCTGTTTAAAAGGATTGCCAATACAGACACTTCGCTCGAATTTTTGAATGTCCCGATCGGTGAGGTAGGTCAGAGGCGTACTGTTCGCCTAAGAAATCGTCAAAAATTAAAGATAAAAGTTAAACATCTATTAGCTGAGGATGGGGAACGGTATGAGCTACTATCGTCCACATTTATCGATGCGTCTGCCAATAAATATTTGTTGAAACAAGTGCCCGCTGGCGATCAGGCATGGGTTGCATTCAGACACAAACGGACACATCATATACCGTTACACAGTCACGGCCTGAGCGGCAGTGAGAACGGTCTCAACCGAACAACTCGGCGTTACGACGGCAACAATGGCTATCAGGTAATGTCACTGATATTTCCCAACGACGACAACCTAAACCAACAGCGCATCTATTTTGTCAACAGAAAAACGGCCAAAAAGTTGCGCTACTATTTTGAGCTAAATGAGGTGATGAGGGAATATCAGTCCTGGTTTGACCAGTTGTTGCCAATAGCGGCCCGTCTGTGCGATGCCCGCCGTTCGGTCAAAGAGTTGGACAACGATACAGATCCGCAGCGTCTAAGCGATTGTCGCGACTATGAGTTATTGAATGACTTGATCAGGAAATTGGCTGACAATTATAAATGGTTGGTCCAATTGGAACAGATATGGAGGTACAGTATACTGGCGCCCAATACCCGTCCAAAATCCAAACGTGTAAAGGCTGAGGAACCCATCCAATCAATTCAAACAAATATAGCTGTTTATCGTATAGGAAGGGGTGCATATGTAGATGTGTAACCGTGAAACAACCATTTCCAAAGGGGATAGTAGTGCCAATACAACAGCTCAACAACAACCCAAACATATACACAAAATATGCCAATCAATCAATCAATCAGTTTAAAGATATATTAAACAAAAACGAAGAGTAAAAAAACAAAAAAAAATTTAAAACTATATTTATATCTTATTGTATTCAATAGTAAATTGATTTTTTTCAGAAACTAAATTTTTGTTTGTTTATTAATTATAATTATATTATTTTAATTATAACTAGTTTGTCCCGCGCAACATGTATAGCCGTTCAATTCTTTTGCTAATTTTCAAAAACTTATCATAAGTAATTTGAATGACTGCCTAATTTGTTTTATATAACAAACAACTTAACCTAATGTAACAAAACTTTATAATAAATACACATTAATACGTCTAAACTCTTGAGAAATTTTAGATTTTTATGTATATTTAAATAATTTTTAAAAAATTTAAAAGTTTAATAATTTTTGTGAAAAAAATTTGCATTTTTAAAAAATTTACAAAATTTTTCACTTTTAACTAACCTCCCGGTGCCCTGTGATTCATACAATATAGCAAAATGTAATAACACAGCACCTGCCTACCTGTCCCTAAAACCTACCTGAGCTCAATAATCATTTAAAATTTTCCATAGAATTAGCATTACTTTAAATAATAATTGAAAATTTTAACACAAATTGGAAATTTTGGAATTTGAGAAAATTTTACAAAAACTAAGCACAGGTAACTAACCTCCCGGTGCCCTGAGACTCATACAATATATCAATATGTTATTACACAGCACCTGCCTACCTGTCCCTAAAACCTACCTGAGCTCAATAATCATTAAAATTTTCCTTAGAAATAACATTGCTTTAAATAAAAATTGAAAATATAACAATACATTTTTAGATTTGAATTAATATATGGTTGTTGATGAAATGTGCACGCATACAGACAAAACTATTATCTTAAAGTGTTAAATATTGATAAATTAATAATAGTTTAATCAGTATCATACATATATATATATATATATATACATTTTAAATTTATAAATACATTTTAGACATCACATCAGATATCTAATTAAAACTAATTTTTTTTGTTTAAAATTATTATTATTAACTTTTATAGTCAAATCAATAATTAAAATTTGAAAAATTAAAAATTTCAAACAAAAATTAAAATAAAACAAAAAAAAAGATTTATTTTTAAGTACCAAAAAAACAACATCGAAGAGAACTAACA